CCGCATTTGCAACAGGTGACAGGTGACGGAGGACGGGGACGCCTGGTGTTTAACAGGGGTAAGCAGGCATATGTCCCATGCCTTCCACTAACCAGATGCAACAACTCCCTGGAGCCGCACAAGGCCGCACCTGGAGCTTATTGATATTCCATTCAGATTAAACATGGCCATACAAGGGCGACATTGGGCTACATTGAAATTTGATGTACATTTGTGGGTGGGGCAGTCTTGTTTGTCCGCATTTGCAACAAGAATATTTGAATATTTGCACCCTAATTGAAATGTCTTCGCGAGACGCATAAAACAGCTTTGAGGGCCACATGTGCACCGCGGGCTGCCAGTTTGAGACCGCTGAATTATAGATTTTATTTCATTGGTTTAAAAAACTCTTCTTTTAAATTAAATAAAATACACAAATTGCATAAATAAATTGGAAATGCTTACTTACCAAAAATGCCGCACTTGGAAAAACAGCTTCTTGTGTTTGAGATAAGTTCTGGTTCCTAGCTTGCTACGAAAGTTGATTGCTTCAGTTCTTTCTTTTAAGTCTTTACGAAGAATTCTTTATATTCTACGAATGAGTAGTTTCGAAATAATAAGATAACAATTTACATCGCTAAAGGAACGTTTTGTCTCGCGCTCTTCAGTGAATTCTTTTATTTATGACCTTGTATTACAAAATTTATTTATTTCTTAATAGCTTCGATTCGCGAAACGAAAAAATAAAGTATTTTGATGTACTTTCTCTACTTCGAATGTCTAAAAATATTGTGAAATTTGATATCTGAAATCATAAATCAAATAATTTACGTTTTCAGATGTCGCAAACCAACGCCAGGTACATAATAATAAAAAAAATGTTTTATTCGAGTCTTTTTTGTTAAACTTGGATTTAGGTTTTACTGAATTTTTTTCTTGAAGTCAAAATGCCACAGAATGTGAGATTTGGAAACAACTTTGAAATTCTTACAGTATTAGTATTTAAGGATTTTTATAAGGACATAGCATTTAAAGACCTTTCTTAATACAAAAGACTGGAAGCCATACCATTGTTATAATGACCAAATAGCCGAAATAAATTATCTGCAGTAAAAATATGCAGACGATTTAATTTTATTCATTTAAAAATATAACTAACTTGAAAATAACTGTAACAGAAACCATTCTTCAAAGTTCTGCATTTAAGCGGAATTTCTGCTGGATGTTTTTCAATTAAAATTCGAAGTTTTTCAATTCGAAGCTTAAAATGTTATGAAACTTAGAAAGTGCAATTCGCATTTAATTTAACTTTAAATAGTATTTATACTCATAAAACATTATTAATATAAAACTGAATAAACTAAAAACGTACAGGGTTGCATTATTGATCGTTATTATCTGGTACGAAAACAAGCAAATAACAAATATTAATTTACACAAAATAGAATATTTGTATTTTAATAATTATTATATTTATGATAATATGAGTTGGGAAAAGATTTTGAATGCTGTCATTTTGAATACATTCTTGAACCGAGGACCAAGGCATTTTTTATCATGGAGTTTTTAGTAAAATCACATTTAACACAATTCATTTTACGCTCTCGTTTATTTTTTCAAGTGTAACTTAACACTCATTAATATTTTAAATCATGATATCCTACGGCTTAGGCATGTTGAATTTATTTCACTACTTTGGCTTTATTAAAAGTACTTTTGTAAATTAAAAATCTTTTACGTAAGCTCCGTGCAATTTAAACTCGTCTTTCAAATTGACTGCCGATTAAATCCTGATAGATTTCAATAAATATAAAATACTTTTATTATCTTAGCCCACTGGTTTTCAAGCTTTGTCGACTCGCGGAGCTCTTAGAAATATGAGTTTTTTTTTGGGGGGGGGAATCCTATCCCATTTTTAAAATATATCTTTAAATAATATTTAAAATATATCAATATGTTGTAGATATTTTATATAAAGATAATTAAAGGAAAGTACTGTACGTTTTATTAAAAGAATTTAACATACAATTAATGAAATTCACTCCTTAAAATAAAATTAATGTAATCTACTCCTTAATTCACTTACTTCTTAAAATAAAATTAATGTAATTTACTCCTTCTACTTCAATGTATTTAATATTTTATGCTATGATTAGTGGAACATGAGTGATGTTTGCACTTAACTGTTTATTAAATAAAAGCTATGCAATACATCTTTTAAGAAATCATAGAATGCAATATTAGCTATACTTTTTGTATAATTTTGAGCGTCAAGAGTTTATTTCACAACATACCTTGCAATCAAGATGCATTTGTACGTTGTACAAAAGCTGTGCAAGATATTAAATAATTCGTGTAATTGTGAGCGACAAGAGTTGATTTCCCAACATGCTTTGCAATCAAGATGCATTTGTATATTGCACTAAAACTGTGCAATATATCTTTTAAAAAACCACAGAATGCAATATTAAATATATTTTCGTATAATTGTGAGCGTCAAGAGTTTATTTCACAACATACTATGCAATCAAGATGAGTTTGTATACAGCACAAAAGCTGTGCAATATATATTTAAAAAAAAAAAAAACCATGAAATGCAATATTAAATATATTTTCGTATAATTGGGAGTGTCAAGAGTTTATTTCACAATATATCAGGCAATCAAGATGCATTCGTACCTTGCAACAAGTATTTTGTAATTCAGTTACATTTATATTTCACTTATAAGAAATAAATATGAATTTTTATGTATTAATATAAAAATAATAATCACTGTACCATTTCCCTTGCATGTTTGCTTTCCACAAAAAATATTTTATTTATCTCATTTTATGTACCGCTATAACTAACGGTTTAATGGCGGCTACAGAACAACATTTCTCAAATGTTTTGCTTTAAAAGAACCCCTGAAATATGTTTCAGGTCATATGCAATTCCTGCTTAAAATTATTATGCCTATAGCCTATGGTATGTTAAAATATAATATTTACAGCAATAGTGTACCTATAGCTAACGACCTAATTAGTAGATTGTAGATATGCAACAATCGATGAGGGTTTTTTTACCTGCGATTCTATTTTTTCTCAACCCATTCGCCATCACACCAAAAAATACGAATCTGTAAATTTTTGCTGTTTTTACAATACTTTTTTTGCATGCTTATTTATCGATGTTTTACATTTATAGGAGAAAGCCTATATACTCTTACTTTTATATATATATATATCGTATTTTAAGTGCATAAACGCCACTGGAACTGTTAGCAACTTGCAGTCTTAGATGTCTGAGTGGAATGGTAGGAAGAAGATGTTGGCACAAACCAAGTCCAGCTAATTACCATATTTATTTCTAGGCACATTAGAATCATTCTTTGTAGATAATATACTCTTCTATAATAAGCAATTACAATAATTTCATATACACTGGGTTTTAAAGGTATGACGTAGACCTTTTTAGCAAGGCAAAGGAGCGCGGTGTTGGCAGAAGTCAGGGAAGGGAAGATAACGTAGTTACTTGTAAGCGGTATTTATACCTAGTAGATGCAGAAAGTACTCTAAGTTGTGATTGGTTAATTTTAGGTTGTTATGCAACATGGAAAGCTCTCGAATTTGGGAGAATACCAAATTTAGAATAGTTAATTTTGAGGTCGCGAATTGTTTCTTAAAGCAGCCATCGTATTTTGTTATACCTTACACACACACACACACACATATATATATATATATATATATTATTTATAATGACAGATTACAAAGGCAACTCTATATAAGACAAGCAAAGATGAAAAGAACAGCAAAATTTAAAAAGAGTCCTCAGTATAGTATAATCTATAATTATATTTTGTGTCTCCCCCCCCAATATCTCTCCCTAAGTGATCCAGCATTAAGTGCAGTGCAACGTCTCAGATGTGAGGCATCCAAAAGGGTCACATATAGTTACATGAATTATGAGGCATTTGAGCTGATGATAAGTTAGAACCAAGCTTATAATATGACTCAGGAAAAAAATCAGATCGCATGAACAACTCGACTCGACCAAACACAACTTATTTCATAAAAAAATAATGAATGCCATAAAATGGATACTTGAAAGTTCTGATATGCTTTTAAATTTTTTCTTTTATTCACTAAAATATTATTATTTTAATTTTCGAAGGAAGAAAACAATTGATAAAAAGAAATTGGAGTAAAAACAAAACTCTTAAATTTTTATAACAAAATTACGGAACCTTTAAAAGCATTTCATGAAATCCATTTTAGCATCGTTGGCATCGAACATGTTTCAATGTATTTCATTCCGATAAACATTTTCCATGAAAAAGCAGTTTAATAAAAGGAAATTGAAAGAAAAAATTGTCTAAATTTCTATTAAAGATTTGTGAAACCCTTGAAAGCATTTCATGAAATCTATTTTAACCTTACTGGTATAGAACACTTTTCAATGCTTCCTATTAATATATACTTTTTGAATGAAAACAAATTAATAAAAGGAAATTAGAGAAAATCTATAACTTTCTGTTAGAAAATTGCGGAACCCGTGAAAGCATTTCGTGAAGTTCACTTTAATACTACAGCTATAGAATATCTTTCAGTGTAGTTCATTAAGATCTTCACTTTAAACAAATTACATAAAATTCATTTAAAAATTCAGTATTGATAAATCATTGAAATTTTAATGTAACATAAATCATCGAAATTAGTGTAATTTCATTAAATAAGTCATTAAATTATCGTAGTTCAATAAAAAACATTGAAATTAATATAATTCAGCGAAACAAATTATCGAAATTATCATAATTCGGTAAAATAAGTCACTGAAATTAATAAATTTCTATAGAACAAATCACTGAAATTAGTCTAATTCATATAAAATTAATCATTGAAATTAGTTAATTGATATAAAATAAACCACTATAAAAGTGAAACAGCAATAAAAATATTTAATTCTTTTAATTATTTCTTTTAAAAAGCAATTTATGTTAGAAATCATGTAAAAGCTTTTAGGAAATGTTTCTGCTTACTTCCTAGAGCTCTTTGCGTTGAAGTTTGTCTATCGCTGAGAGCACCCAAGATAATCTGAGAATGCTAATGCGGTGTTCTTATAAAAATGGTCGACACTCTCTTTTACTTACCAAAGACCAACGTCACTGACAGATGAGCAAACATATTTCATATGCATGCGAAAATCTGTTCATGACTCATTCCCAAAATGGCATCAGATTTCGAGAAACTGGATTCGAAGATTGCTCAAGAAGATGCCAGTACCCAACAAATGCATGAATAACCTTGCGCAATTTTTTAAATCCATGCATTTATTCATTGACTTATCGTAACTGCCTAAATGAAATTCCTTTCTGCAAAACTCAAATCATTTTACACTTACTGGAAACAATTGCGAGTGTAAAAGGCGATGTCCACGTGTTCTTGGCCATAATTCTCTCCATTGTGTTCGTTTTTGACAAAATGGCAGTACATTTACATATAATGTAAAAATTTGCAGAAAATATATTGGAATTATTTGTCAGAAATAGAAAAGATTATGATTATACTGAAATACAATAGATTCTTATTTTTTACCGAGAATATAAAATTCATACCTCTAAGAATTGTAAAAATGATTTTAAAAAGAGCATTCTAAGAAGATTCAACCAAAAATATAATCTTAAAAAGATGTAAGATTTGTGCAACCAGGCTCGGCTTTACTATATTTCCCTGGGCGAAAGCGTTTTCGGCGCCCTTCTGCATTTGGTGCCTTGGGCGGTCGCTCACATGTACAATGCCGTTACTGTGTGTAACAGTAACGGCTCGGATGTCATACAGAAAGGTAAAATGCAATTCTCCATCAACAGTGACTTTTCGTTAACCTGATATCAATGCATTTTAAGAGACAAAAATCAACGGTTTGTTTTGGTCAAAGGTAAATAATTCGATGGAGTTATAAAAAAGGGGGTCATTGAAAAGATGGCAGGATTATAAAAGCGAATTTCTCGAAACTATAAAATATATAGAAATGATAAAATAATAAAATATAAAGAAATGTCCTAATTTTTCCGTCTTCCCTCACCGAATTTTAATATTTATTATATTTGTTGCCACTTGACAAATCTTAAAACTACTTTTCGCACATTTTTAGACTATTTTGCTTTGCTGTGAAAAAAAATCTTCCGCTTGGATGCTTTTAACAGCAACTATATTTTTGAAAGTATAAATTATCGCCTGCTACTACGCAATTTTATTTTCATGCAAAATGTTGCTTTTAAAGAAGCAATGGATCAAGCCTATGTTTGTACATTTCCAGAAGAAAATAATTCCGATCTAGTAATTAAAACACTTTGGTAAAAACCATTGTTTTTGGATATCTAAAGGTACGATAGGTAATGTTGTAAACAACACAGTAAAAATATTAAAAGAAATCTGAAATGTTTCAGATTTTAAATTACGTTCAAAGGGGCGTTTTTTTAACGTTTTGTGTGTTACCTTTATTTGTTAAGTATCATGTTCTTCGCACTTAAACCATAAATATCAGTTCCATATACATACAATTATGCAGATTTTTCATTATTTAATTTCTTCAAATATAATGCAGGACTCTAACATTTGGTGGCAACAGTTTGAAAAGTGAAACGGACATTTATAGTGATTCAACGCAAAATCGCAAAACGAAAACAATAGTCTTTCAGGGACAAAGCCCCTTTGGACTAAAAAGTCAAAATTTAGCTTCATGTGGAAAATTTTTTCCAAATACGTATGTAAGGACAAAACGGAATATTTCGAATGTTGCAAAAGATCTTTAACGTTGAAATAAAATCCGCTAATTCAAAGAGCAGTTTCAATTCTAAATAAAGTGATTCATGCTGATTTGAATCTAAAAAAGTCGAAAAAGCATAATTCGCATCATCTTCCTCCACGGCATATAGCAGAACGCACTTCAGAATTTTTTATGAGAAATAATTAGCCAGACAAAAATGGAAAAATGTTTTCACAATAGACGAATCGTACTTAAATGACTGCAACAAAATTAGATCCATTTTTTATGATCAGAAAGGAGAAGAAAATCTTAAATCATGGTTCAAGGAATCTCAAAGTTTTTTAAAGGGATTTGTGATTGTTGCTGGTTTTTCATATAACAGCAAAATAAAAATAAATAGAGTGAAGAAAAATGTTAAGATCACATATTATCAAAAACATGTTTTATATCTAATTTTCAAATATGAAATACCTTCTCTTTACACACTGTGATCAATGAGAAGAACTGCATCTAAACAAAGCAATTAGCAACACGCCAAAATCTGCTGTTAATTTCCTGGAAAAAATGGAACAAGAAACGTGCATCAAAGCAATACCTTCACTCTTATCTCTCTATTAAATCCTATTAACTCCCTATTAAATCTTCTGATCTATCACCAATGTATTTTTGTGTTTTTGTTCTTTTAAAAAGCGGGTTGCCCAAGCATCGACCTGCAATCTCCGTAGCCTTGGGAAAGCTGTTCGAGATCAATGGGATAAAATACCTCTTTCCGTAATACAAAAGGCTTTATTGTCTTGGAAATCACGATGTATAAGGATAATGAAGAATAAGGGTTATCAAATAGAACATTTAAAACATAAAAAAAGTTTAAATAAAATATGAATATCGTCTAAAACGTGTGCAAACGGCCTCTGCATGCATTCGATTTCATACTAAATCTGTATTATGGAGTTCAGGAGTTCTTTGTAGTAGGCGCTGGAGATCACGTACCTTTTCACCATGCACAATTTGTTTTGGCTTATTCCTGCAAAACAGGGGTGTACTGTTGCAGGACTCGACTCACAGAATTAGGGTCCCGGAGCAAAATGCAGTTTCATTTACACTTCGCTTATTTTTCAAAATTAAGAAAACGAATTATTTTTGTAAGTCTAAAATATACTCCCCTTCATCCTCTCCTAGTTCCTGTACAATTACGACGAAATTTTGTTCCACCAGTGTTTCCAGGACGTCCTTGTCGAGCTCTACAGATCTTTTAGGAAAAGGCCTGTTTTCTAGGCTTTAGTTTCTGGCTCCTGGAACTCCAGTTGACGCTGGTTTACTTTTATTGTCAGATCCACATATATTGCATTACTATTCCTATTAATAACTATTTAAGTGAACTCACTAAGAAATATAAAAAGGTAAAACTGTAGAGACATTAGGTTATTTCGAAGCAAAAGACATGAAAAATGAGCCATGCCTTCGCCGGGACTCGAACCACGAACCACTAGAATATGCGTCGAGCGGGCTGACCACTAAGCTAAGAAGGCGGGAGAAATACCTTATATACCCCCCTTTTGAAAGGGCGACTGATTATTAAGGTTACCCATTCGCCAAATCCTGGAGGTGAAGAATCATCATCTACCACCCTTTTAGTTCGGGAGCCACTGAAGAGACATTAGGTTGTTCCGAAGCAGAAGAGATGAAAAATGAGCAACGCCTTCGCCGGGACTCGAACCACTGAACTCTCAAATACGCGCCGAGAGTGCTGACCACTACACTACGAAGGCATGCTAAGAAGGCAGGAGAAATACTTTCTAAAATTACTAACAAACATTCTCTATTCGTAAAAAGTAAATTTAAAGTTAATTAAATGTTAAATGAAATTTGATTAAAAAATAAATGATTAATCATTGCTGTGAACTAATCTACAATCAGAGTCGTAGCTAGGGTTTTCAGCGCCCAGGGACAACTGATGATTTCGCGCCCCCTACTGCTTGCCAAGGACGGAATACGTTTAATTTTTAAAATGTCGTAACATCAGTTTGGCGCTCTTTGGATTCTGCGCTCGGGAACAGATGCCCCCCTTGCCCCCCTCTAGCTACGCCCCTGTCTACAATACCATTTAAATTCTGAGAGCATATGTAAATCAAATTGAAAGTATCAAAATCTAAGGAAAAAAATATAATTCCAAAAAATTTTTTATCCTAAAAATTTTTAAAAATGCATAAGTGAATAATTGTTGAGCAGGCAGGAGACAGACTTATCAAGGGAAAGTTGCCTCCAAACCTAACTCTTCAATTACTCAATTCGTGTTTCGTCATCCAAGTAGGCAAGGGTCAAAGTCAAAAGTAAAACTAAATGTTGTGAATTACTAAAAAGAAATTTAAACAAGTGGAATTTTGAGAAATTAGCAAGTAAAGAGTAGAAATAAAATTTTAAAAATGTCACTTAAAAGTAGAAAACCAAATTTTTTTAGGAAACCAAAGTAATTTAGAAACTCTGACCTACAGAAAACTTCCCCAACACGAATTATGCATATAAATAAAAAAGAAAAAACTAGATACTATTTATAAAAAATACATAAATAATACTAAAAAAGCAATTAAATAGTAAGTTTTAATTTAACTTACCAACTATATTTGTATTTAGGGAGTGGAGCAGTATTTGCCAAACTAAGTGATGTTAAGTGTGTTTCTTCTAACTTTATAAACAGAGAGCGCTAATATAAGGTTAAGTTAAGTGTTAAGCTGCTATCTGTTAGATTTATTTTAAAAAAATAAAATAAAAATAAAATTACTACATGTTTTTCACAGACAGTGCTGAAGATAGTTCATCCCGTCCACCTCAGATTTACAGATCAATTTTTTTTAAAAAAGTAATTATTTATGGGATGCACAATACATAAAGCACTTTGTGAAATAACATAATAATTTACTATTTTTTCACATAAAATAATTGAAACAAAATTTGTATTCAAATTTCTGTATGTTATTTTTGTTTTCGTTGTTATTTTGTTTATTTCATTTTATTACACGTAGTCTGTAAAATGTAACGTTATACATTTTAAACAAGGGTCTTGTTTATGTTCCTGGGAAAAACGTACTGGGATCAGAGTAAGAAACTAAATTTAACCTATTATTTTATTAAAAACCTTAATTAGTTAAACTACAGAAATAAGACCAAAAACAATACTTCTAAACTGTTTATGATTTAATAATCAAGTATATAACTATGCCTTTGATAATCAAACAAATCTCATATTTTACACACAGAAGCAAAGACTAGTTGTGCAGCTTAGTCTTAGTTTGCAAATCGGGAGCTGTTATATTAGAGAAGGCGAAGAGAAAAATAAATGTGTGTTTGTGGCACTTTGG